AATAGAAATCTAGGGAGAGAATGATCTAATTGTTTTATAGTATAAATCTAGTTGTCATTTAAAACTTGATCTAAATTCCCTTCACAGACACCTCAAAAACACAACGAAGTGGCCATCATTTTGTTAACAAGCGTGCACTGCTACACTAGTCACTATCTACAACAGAATTTCAACAGTATTTCAACTGCCTGTGGGCCAAATACAAGGAAAAACATGACTGACTGCTCAACAGGGGACCTCAAAAAGGACATTTGAAAATGAGATGAATACAGGATACAAACTAGGGAGTAATGTTGAGATCTACAGTGTACCTACATACTTCCAGAGTTTCTGCATTACAATCAGTAATGTTAAAGCAGGATGAATATTTCAAGAATTTACCTTCCTCCCTGCTGTCTTCTTCTCCATCTTCTGGTTCTGACTGTGCGTCTGTCTCCTTTGCCTTTGGCATAGCAGAGGCTTCAAATTCATCTAGAAATAATAAAAACAAACACACACGCATTGAAATTGACCGTACCAAAGTACCAAAGTACCAAAATGACCCTTTTACAGGATTTGAATAAAGAATAAAAATAAATAATACGATAATAATGAATAACAATAATGGCAAGGAGAATGCAATAAACAAGAGCAGCTACATCATTCAAAGCATTTTCTCCAACACATCTCATATTTGCAATTTGGTGTTTTAAACATGCTTGTAAAAGGTGGCTACGGGCTTTTGGCCAAATGGGTGTCCAGGTGTCTTGTGGATGTCCGCTTAATTGTTTTATTTTTCATACGTTGCTTTTTAAATTTTTCAGTTGAGCAGGCCCTAAAGCACATTTTGGACACCTTCTTTTCTCCTATCTGGCTAGCTTGACTCTTGACTATTAAGGCACATGATCATAATAAGTTACTCGTTTACAGATGATCACTTTTTAAGCCGTGGTAAAACCGATGTGAACACTGCCATAAGCCAAGCCTAATGTTGCCGAAATCATTTGTTAATTAGATCAGACCATGATAAAACTCACCTGGGGGTTCTTCTGGTTCAGCACTTTGAGTTTGTGTCTCTTTGTTGTATAAGACAGGTTCCTGAAGAGGAAAACCACATTGAAAGAAATAACATGCATACCAAATTAAGATAAAGAAAAATGTGAAGAGTTTGTCTAGATCCAGGACCAAAAGGACTTGAAACAAGTTAAAGGATGCAGTAGTAAGAGGAATACGTGCACAGATTGTTTGTACTCTCTTTTGTTCCCTGTCGCACTGTACATGTACATAAAACTAACAGACAGAAGCATCCAATTACAAGTAGATTTCTGACAAGTACATGTACATGGTTGAACATTGTATTGTTGCATTTAACTGGAGGCAGCACATGTGGCCTAGCGGTCGGGGCTGGATTTGTAATCCAGAGGTCCCAAGTTCCATTCGTCCTCCCTGTCACTAGCTAGATGGATTTGGGTTCAATGATATGGAATTCAACATTTGTAATTAGATGGCCATGCTTTTCACGGTCTCATAGGGTTTTGCAGGGTTCATGCCTTTTAGGTTCCACCTGACAGTGAGTAAAAACATGTACATGTCGTTACTTCAACTGCCATTTGTGTTTGCTTATGGAGTGCTTTGGTTGAAAAATTTAAATCAATGGGAAATAACTCCTCGACACACAGTTTTCCAATGTAAGCATAGGTTTATTACTTGTAAAGGTACCTTTACCTTTGGTGGAATATTTGTCTGTGTAAGCTGAGACACACCCAATTTGACTGCTTTTTTCTTCTCTCTGTGAAAACCAGGCCAGAATGAGTTGAAAATTAGTTTCAGAGGAACTTTGCTTTACAGTCAAATAAGTTATGAGAAATACCCCTTCCAAAGCTAAAATAAAACTGCATTTCTTATCAAGAACAAAATGGGTACATTGATACTTATTAGTAACAAAAATAACGTTTTTTGGTAACAGGTCACTATGGTGAGGGGGATCGAGGCTGTCAAAATGTCCCGTACCCTACTCTCCTGCCTCCCAACCAATGTCTCCTCAATTAATGTTCACTCTTCATTCTCGAAGTTGTTCCCATACCCAAGTAAACTGAAAGGCTTCAAAAACCATGTTAGTCAACGATAAAGCTGTGTCAGGACACCTCATTCCTAGGTCTTTAATGTCTTATTTTCTTTAATTTTTTAATTTTTTTTTTTTTTTTTTTATAATTTGCTAAGATTAACATTATTAATAGGTCTATACTCTCCATTTGTCTTGCTTCCTGCCCATTGAGAACCCCTACATCCCTCCTTTTCCTGTCTCCCACCTCCCCCTGCTTCTATTCTCCCAGGTTGCACCCCCCACCCCCACCCCCCCACCTTGGTGCCTCTTCACGTACACCTGTGATGACCTTCTTACATACACGTCGCTCTGAATATTATAAATTTCACTGATGGAACTCTGTTAAAATATTCTTGACTTACGGTGATACATAAGGTCTTGATGTTACATCCTTGCCTGGGCTGGAAGCTTCAGTATTCATGGACTTCTGTAATAGTGGAGACACTGCCAGAAAAAAACAATATTTTCAATTTATTTAGAACTGCTACATGTACTAAATAGATACAGTGTGCATGTAGAAGTTAAAACAATCAAGTCAAAAAGTTTTATAGCCAAGTTTTATCGTTCCAGTCACTTGAAGCTACCCAAAAATCTGACAATCCAGCTGAAAAATTCCTTTCTGACGACATCGATTCCATGCACATCACAGATCTAATTGGATGGTTTTTACTAATCATACAGATTTCACACTCGAGGACCACCCTGGTTAAAAAACTATTTAGGAACTGTTAGCATGGTTACACTCATTATGCAGAATTACATGCAATTGCCAAAATTGTCAAAAAGACTCATTCTTAAAGTCTCTAATGACGAGTATAAAAGTAACCTGCTGAGCCATCGATCACATCATCAGGCATAATTCCCTTGAGCAGCTCATCAGCTTCTCTCTTCTTTCTCTCAATATCAGTCTCTTTGGATTCTGTTGCTGAGGCAGCGGCACTAGTGATAGTCTTTGGAGTGGCTGCTACTTTACTGTGCTCTAAATCCTGTTACAAACCAAGGTGACAAGGAATTTGCAGTTCTAGAAAATATCCATACCCCCCTCATAGAAGGGATTTTTTCTAAGACCCCCCACTCCTCTGGAAATTCCAATAAAGGTCCAAACATTTCTTTAATCTTTTTGGTCTTAGATACGACATTGGACGACTATTTTCAACCTCGATCGTACAGTACAAGTACAATAATCACCCGACGACCCTGTATATATGAGCCTAATATTCTGAGGAAATTAGTCAGCAAGAATTTGGTACAATTCCATACTTAATCATGCATACAATTTTGTAGGTTTTGTCCTATTCATTACTGCCGCCCATGTGAAAATGATACAAAGAGAAATTGTATGCACAATTGAGTATATATCGGACTATACGGAAATCTGTCCTGTCGGGTTTTCTTCAGGAAAGAGTCTCAGTTGGCAAGATATTCTGCAGTTACCTGGCTACCTATTAAACTGATATCTAGCAAATTACACGTACATAAGCTTACATGTACATACGGTATGACTCACGACCTAACAGGTCCATCCAATCGATATTTGCATGTGCAGAAGTCTTAGGTATTTCCACATACAAAAATCACCCATATATCCACTGCAAATGAAAAGATAAGCTTTTCATGCATAGCACGTATCGCAGAAATGTAGCCAATCACGAAAACCAGACCAGTTTCGATCCAGTCTTCAAAATCAGTTAGCTCAAGTCAAATATTGAATTAAGCAAATTATTTCTTCTTCCACGTTTCGTACCTTTTTCTTTTCCTCTCGGGCTTTCTTGATCTCTTCTAGGCGTTTTCGTTTTCTCTCTAGCTCAGCTTTTCGATCAGACATCTTTCTCGAACCTTTTCGTACAACGAGTCTTGGTTAAATATTGTACTTCAGCAGGTATCCAATATGGCCGACAACAACACCTTCAATCGCTCGTACCCAGTTCTCTTATCAGCACTAAAGATGAAGGGACGGAAAACACGTGCACTGTAAGTACCTCCTGTTGTCCCATACAGAGCCTTAGGAAACTTTCCTAAGGCTTTGTATGGGCTTTTATCTGGAGTATCTGGTAACGCTCCAGGTTACTTTATCATGTTTACCGCAAGGCGTCATAATCTTGCCGCTTTGTGACAGAAATGTTGTTTAACTAAAAGTAAACCAGAACACCAACAGACCTATACATGTATCAATTGTCAGCTGAAGGAATTTTACCCATCAATGACACATCATCGCTTGTCAAACTTTGCAAATGAACACGACGTAATCGGTTCAAGGGACCACTGATAAGGAAATAATAAATAAGGTGCGTAAGTCGGATGATATTGGAACTCGAGGAAAATGCATTTTATATTTCAGAAAACTTTGTAACAAGTAGCTACAAATTAAGCTTAACCGAATTAAACAAGTATGCAGCATCTTAATGCTAATGTTCGTG